TTTTTTTTTTTTTTTTTTGGTCAAGCGATAGATTTTCCATAGAAAAAACACATAGTTACATACTAGAGAGCAACTAGACAGCCGAATAAGTCAGTCATTTAACCGAATCTAGTTGGGAAGACTGTTTTGTATGTTTTTGTTGTTATTTTTGTGTGTTTTAAGTGTATTATTTGTGTTCATTTTATTTTATTTCAAGTTTTTCCCCGTATGTTTAGTCGTTTCTGCTTGTTATTGTGTTTTGGTGTAGTTTTCGTGTCTTGTGTTTTTTTATTTCTCTTTTTATTTTGTATTTTGTAGGAAAATTGCATTCCGAACAGTCGACAAGAAATTCACCAGGAAATGTCGAAAAGTTTCCCGAGAAAGTGCTCACGTCCGAGGAAACCGGTTGGTGCTCGATGGACCCGCGCGCGCATTCCAGCATGCCCCGCGTGCCTATGGGCGCACGCTTCGTACCCGCCTGCCCGGCCGCCCAGCAGCTCGTGGCCGCGACTCTCTGTTCGCGTGGGTCGTGAGTGTCTCGTCCTCGCCCGCGAGTCCTGCTACCAGCCCACGAAAATTTTCGCCTGGCTCGCGAGTGTGCTTTCCAGCAACGCCAGCACTCGCGAGCGCCTGCCAGCCCACATAATACTTCGCCTAGCTCGCGAGTGCGTTTTCCAACCGCGTCAGCACTCGCGAGCGCTTGCCACTTGTCGTGCACGCCCGTGAAGCCCAATCCGCTTGGCTCGCGAGTTCCCCATGCTTGCACCTATGCTAAAAAAAAAAACACTCGCGTTGAGTAAATTTTCATGTCTTGCTCGCGAAATCCACCTAGCTCGCGAGTGTTTTATTAAATGTCTGTGTTTCTAGTGTGTGTTTGTAGTGTAACTATACATAGACATCTTAGTTTGTATTTTTAGACATGACTCTAATTTATCAACTTTTTACTATTCTCTCTAGCTTTGTGTTGGGAGGTCCATGACTCAATTTTTCCGACGACTTTATTTTTATCCAAGATTCAAGCTTTACGCATAATTTTCGCCCAAGCTTGCGATGAGAGAATAAGTACCTCGATTAGGGCTTACTAATTTGATTTTGTTTCCTTCTTGCTTGTTAAGCTGGTTTATTGGCCGGAATCTTGTGTGATGTTCGATTTATGACTCTGCTTTATTTTTTTGCTTGCTTAAGTGTGTTAGGAGTTAATTTTGCGCTTATCTTGTATAAAACTCTCGACATTGCTTAAAGCGAGACATTTTAGTCAAGAAAGCTCGGTTTATCTGCCTAGGATAACTTAGCTAGCATGTTTCACTTTGTTTATTTTTATTTTCTTGAGTTATGAAGACTCCGTGCTACCGAAGTTCGAATCTTTTCTTCCAAATCTCTCACATTTCATCAATTGCTTTCAATTCTTAGGGAAAGTTAGTTTAATTTCACCCAAATCAAGCGAGTAGCATGTGTAGGACCATATTTTCGGTTTTGTGAATTGAGTACTAGATAGTAAACGAAGCTCCGAACAACCTTCCTTCGAGAAGATGACCCAATTGAGATCTTTCGATTATGCTCGACTAAAAATTACAAACAAAGACAAACCCCAAAGGCAACAACCCGATGTAGCCTAGAACCAACCTAAACACAACACTCAAAAACCACTCAAAAACACAAGAAGAAAAAACTCCCAACGGGAGAAGAAACTACTACCAACAGGAGAATAACCGACTCCCAACAAGAGAATCGACGTCGAAAAACACTAAAAAAAGGACCTCTAAACACAAAAGGAAACAAAGAACCCTAAACAAACAGAGAAACATGAACAGCCAAAAAACGAACACTCTAAACTAACAATGGGCCTCTTCTCCAGAAAGGAGCCACGAGCACCCCGCGAATCGAGTCAACACCAACTCGACCTATCGAGAAAAAAGCTCACGAACCACGGCCCAGCACAACGGGACTCGAAACTCCCTTAATGGGCTAACAAGACCCACGCAAATGGCATCGATCGACAACCTTCCCCAGTACCTGCAAAGACCACCCTAGCCGGTCCACGCCACAGCTTCCCCCACGCAAACTCTGAAGCCTCCGTACTCACACATCCACTTTTGTATCTCAAGAAACAATTTTCTTTAATAACATTTGCTAACAACTAATAGCATAGTCAAACCACCTTAAAATTTTATAAATAATAATATTAATAACAATAACAATACTAATACTTTCTTAACTAGATTAATTGATTGTGATCCTTCAAAATTAAAAATTACATTATCCTCAAACTCTTTTCAATCAATATAGTGATTCATATACACTTAAATAATTTATACTTATATTGCTTTATTTTTAGTAATGATTAAACTTTGAAAATAAGATATGTTCATTATCAAAATTACAATTCAATATTACATTTAAAATCATAGCTTATAATATTTTATTTACATTTGTGCATATGTATAGAATGATTACTAGTATACTTTATGTTATATAGATAATTAAAAAAATTTGGTAGTACTAGTATATTTAAAAAAAATGATTGAATTAAAAATGTTTGGTTTTTTTTTTTCCAATCACACCATGAGTCACAAACTTATAAAATTGCAGCGGCGTTTGAAAAGGCAAGGCATCCTGGTGAAAAAAATACACATATGTAATATTTTAACAGAAAATTTTTTGGTAATATATTCCAATGGAAATTTCAACGGATATTATAATAGTATATCTTCCGTTGGAATGTGTTTTTCATTGGAATTTTAAATAGAATTTGATGATTCTAACGACTACATTTCCAGCGGTTTTTTACCGTAGGAATTTCCATTGGAATATGCAAATTCCGTTGAAATTTTTATTTCCAATCCCGTTGAAAAATCCATCATTGAAATCGTCAAAATCCAACGGAAATTCCAATGGAAAACTCATTCCAACAAAATATTTTTGTTGAAATTTCCGTTTGAATACATTGAAAAATTCCAACGCAAATATTAATATTAAAATATTCGTTGGAATTGCCGTTGAAATAATTCTTTTAAAATAGATTTCCGTTGAAATTTAATTATTTATTTTTTTGAATTGACAGTACTCCTTTATATATATCCTCCCTGAAAAGGGAATGTAATATTGTAGGTATATCTACGGCTACAAAAGACGACGGAACCATCCCGTTATGGGATGGTAGCATTTCCCAATTGTATACCAAGAAACTAGACCAAGTATTAGATAGAGAAAACAGTTTGCCCAAAAATACACTCACCCCTAAACCCTACATTAAGCAAAGCATCTCATAAAGCAGACACAATTCATTTTGGGTTTCATTCTCTGACATCCTTAACCCCATAAACATTTTTTCTTTCCAATTGTACCTCTCTCTCTCTCTCTCTGTTTCCAAATGGGATTCTGCTTCTCAAAATTGAAGAGATCCAGAGACATCCACATCTCATCAACTTCCTCCTCCTCAGACTCTGCCCATCCCCACTACCATGACCCGATTTGGTCCTCCCCGCCTCCACCTCCGCCAGCCCCTGCCCTGCCGCCGGTCGGCCCCATCCTCGGAAAACCCTACTCCGATATCACCTCTCTCTATGACCTCGACCGTGAGCTGGGGCGTGGCCAGTTTGGGGTCACGTACCTGTGCACCGAAAAATCGACGGGCCTCAAATACGCGTGCAAGTCCATCTCGAGGAGCAAGGTGACGAGCGAGAAGGACATGCAGGACGTGCGTCGGGAGATCATGATCCTACAGCACCTCACGGGTCAGCCCAACATAGTCGAGTTCAGGGGGGCCCACGAGGACGGGAAGGGCCTGCATTTGGTGATGGAGCTTTGCTCGGGAGGGGAGCTCTTCGACCGGATAACGGCCAAGGGAAGCTACTCGGAAAAGGAGGCCGCCAGGATCGGGAGGCAGGTCGTGAATGTGGTCCACGTCTGCCATTTCATGGGGGTTATGCATAGGGATCTCAAGCCCGAGAATTTCTTGATGGTCAGTCGAGACGAGGACTCGCCCTTGAAGGCCACCGACTTTGGGCTCTCCGTTTTCATCGACTCGGGTTAGCTTAATATCATTGTCTTCTTTCTTTGTTCAGAATGATAAAATTCATAAAACGAAACACATAAATACAGACTAGAAAACAACTAAACATCCTAATAAATCAGCCAACAAGTTGAATCTAGTTGGAAGAACTACACCAAGTGTAATCTAAAACCAACGCAAACACACAGAACACCGAGTCTTTTCACCTCTTATCGAAATTACGTACAATCGCAAAATCGGTCCATTAACATTTGCGACGCTGCAATTCCAGTCCATTAACTGAAACTGTGTAGTCTGTGTTATATGTTAATGGAACCATGGACAAATTATTAGTGGTGATCAACAGATATTTTCTACTCTGTTGTTGTGCAGAAAAAGATAGAACATCTTGCATGAACGAAAATTATTAGAAATTCGAGTCACAAATGTACGACAGTGGGCAAGTGTAGGGTCGTTTTCTTTGGTGTAACATGATACTTCTTATGTTATACGTGTGGATGTCACTATAGGTCAACGGGGTCAACTATATATTGACAGGTCAAGCAGACCAATCTTGTTTTCCCATTTAACCTGTTTCTAAAATGGTGGGGCCGATAGAGATACCCTTTCTATGTGCTTATTGAGCTGGAAAATACACACACCTAGTGGATATTTATAGTTATATAAAAACTAGAATTAATAGTAAGAAAAGTCAAAGGTAATTAATGCATTCTATTTCCATCAAGTATTTTATTTAATTATTTTAGTTAATTGTTTTATCTCATAACACTTTTTCAATACAACTTACCATGATTTTTCTATTGTGATTAAAAACCAAATTTTAAGTTTAAAATCTTGTGAAATTATTATTATTATTTTTATAAAGCACATATTATTTGTTAAAAAATTGTATATATATATAATACACATCAAAGTACAATGATTTATATTTCAACCGACCAAAATGCCAATGATTTAAATTTGAACACACTTATGCGTTTGACCAAATGTCTGGATGATTTAAAATTGAGGCCATTTATTGAAATTTGAACACACCAGAAATTTTATATATTTATTATTTATAAATATATTGAAAATGGTATTTAATGGCGGTTATATAAACTATTTTAATATATTTGCAATCAATAAAAATTTGAATGGATAATTTGTAATGTTATTCTTAATGTTTGTGATTTATGAGACACAGACACATAACTCCATACATATTTGTCAGAGGGCGGCTTAATAATTTTTTAGACTTAACGTTGATTAAAAGAGGTAGAAAATAGATAATAACATTATTACTTTTTAAACTTAAACGGACAAGGTTGTTAAAATAACTCATTTAATATCTTGGTCCCGTACATCGCACGGGATACATACTAATTTAAGTATTAACATAGAACTTATGTATATATAACATTTTTATTATGTCCTAAAAGAGGAAAGAGTAACATTATACTATTTGAGAGGTAGACATGCACATTTCCCTACTTATGAACATAAAAAAAAAAAAAAAAAAAAAAAAAAAAAAAAAAAAAAATCCTGTCAGTTTTGTGGTTTACGGGATAATTGTTTTTCATTTTTAATTAACTAGTGAGAATCTCGTGCGATGCACGAAGATTTCGTAACAAAAAATATTTTTGCAAAATTTTATTATTTAAACAATATAATAGCCCATAGATCTGCTTATATTAATATAAATAACATTTTAACATATATATTTATTTTTAATAAAATAATAATAATTTATATATTTTTGTTTATCATAATATTCAAATATTATTTTATTAAAAAATTTATTGTCGTATAATGTCAATATTATTTATAATACTAGTACAACACCCGTGTATTACACGGGTGCTTGTTAAAAAATTATTCTTAAATTTTAAAATTCATGAAAAAACTATATTAAATTTAGTTTACTTTTTTACAAAAAATATATTTTAGAATGATATGTGTTACTTATGACTTATATGTGTTTTATTTTCATAGTTTTTATAACTTATATCATATAACTACTTGAAATATAAATATATTAGTTGATAAATAATTTTATTTTTCTAATTAATATTAAAATTTATTTTATTTTGTTATAAAGATAAATATAAATTATTTTTTTATACATACAATATGGATGTTAAATCGAAGCTCATCGAAAGAAGATTAATTTGATATATTACATATGTAAAACTGATAAAAAATACAAAAGTTATTAACTTTTAAAATATATATACAATTCAATAGTAATAATAAGGAATGATATTAAAATGCAATTAATACATGTAACATTACCATAAATAATCAACATATTTATGGTAATCCAAACCTAATTATTTTTGGTTTAGAATTAAATTAAAACTAGTACAGATCCCGTGCAATGCACGAGGTGCACAAAATTAAGGTCATTTATCAAGTCTTATAATTATATAAATGAATAAAGAAAAATGTACGGGATATATATAGTACGTGACCTGTAATAAGCCAAAATGTGAACACGGGTGATGCATGAGATGCACAATTTTAAGGTCATTTATTAGTACAGAGTCGGTGCGGTGCACGGGGTGCACAATTTTCTAGTATGTGTAATACAAATACATACCGTATGCACGGGAGAGAAACACTAAATGAGTTATTTCCACAGAGCTTGCCCGTTAAGTAGCTCCTGAACACGGGTGCACAATTTGTAGTACGTACTATAAAATCAGAACAGATTTTCATACAATTAGATAATAAATAAAGCCTTTTTATATTAGTAAAGATTTTACGTATTTTTTTTATTTATCAGATGTTATAAAATTTTTTTTGTTAGACCGATTTTATGAGATATAATACAAATACAATTAGAGGATTGAACAAAATCAGAACAGATTTATATACAATTAGATAATAAGAAGGAATTTGATAAGGAAAAGAAGAAATTAGATAACGAATTTTGAATCTAACTTTTTTTTAGTATAAATAGACTTTACGTACAAATTTTGACTTCACCGATTTTATGAGATTTGTTTTGACAAAATCAAAGATGAACACTGAAGACTGTTTCTATTAACATTTACACTGTGTATTTAATGTTTTTTTTTTTTTTTGGCAAAATATTCTTTTTAAGTGTGATATATAAATATTAAAGTACTTAAAATATTTTATAACATCTATAAAAGCATCTAAAATATTCTATATTATTCACAAATAATGTTGAAGCTACCTAAATTTTTCTAAACTACCCGTAAGGAAAATATATACAAAAATTCTTCATTTAACTTCCATATATGTATATATATAGAGAGAGCAAATATTTAAAAAATTTATACAAATAATATTTAAAAGTATCTAAAATATTAGTAATTAGACAGGTGAAATTTAGATTTTTAAAAAATCTATATATATAATGGATTTATAGTAGTAATTAGACTTTTATTTATTTACCTTGAAAGTTGTTACGATAGAGGGATGTGATTTTTTTGACTCTATGGAATTTTATAAGCTGGGTTATGAAATTTTTCTTAAACTCATCCATATCTATGCGATGAGTTTTATAAGCTGGGTATATAGATTTAAAATTGTAAAAAAAAAAAGCCAAAAAAAAAAAAAACTTTCATAAATCATTTGATTTGGTAATTTCGGAGAGCTTCATTAATTTAAAAGTTTAAAATAAATAAATAAAAAAAGTACAACTGAAAAAGTTATAACCAATTGTATGGAGAATTAAATTAAATTAAATTTTGTAGGATGCATTAAATATTGATTAGATTTTATATGTAAAATAAAATAAAAAATAACTGAAATAGTTTTACGTGTTGCAATATTTTACATTTAAAAAAATTAAAAACATTTTCTTTTACGTATTGGATACCAACATTTTAGGAAATACATGGATATTCCTAAATTAATATTGCATACCAAATATTTTAGAAACTAATTAAATGCTAATTTGATTTGCATACCAAAAATATTAGATGCATTAATTAAATGCTTGATAAAAATAGCAAATCATTAATTAGGGTTGACTATTCTATATACTACATTTAGTAAATAGTATAGCTTTTAACATAAGTATAGATTTACCCAGTCTAATAACGAAGCATGTAATTTTGCCACATAGGATTCCGAAGCACAAGAAGCAGCCACATAGGCTCAGCGCGTTCTGGATTAATATATAGGGGGATTCATAGAAGTAATATACCTTTTTATATAATGATAAATATTTAATGTATATTAATATTATTTATTGATGTGATTTATTTAAAAATATATAAGTAAATCTAATGTTTGTTAGGAATGTGATAGACTTCGATATTTTAGGTTCAAATATATGATATATATAAATAAAAATATATGATATGAATATCTTGAGATATAAAAGAAATTTTTATGTGATTTATTACCTTAATAAATCAGTCGTAATTACCTAAATTGTATCATTAAAAAATACCATAAAGTAGTTAAATAGTTTACAGAATTAGGAAACAATATTTTTTTAGCGAGAAATAATTACTATATAAAAATAATCAAACTATTATATATATACATATCGATTCGGTGTCCGACGATTTTTGTTCTTTCAATTATATATAATTCCTCCGTAATTCACCAAAATATAGTGTTCTTTTAGAAGAATTATGTGTTGATACAACTTATTGTTTCACATCATATTATTGTAATCTAGATCAAAATATCCTAATCTTACGCTAGGCCGTGACGGGTGACTTATGTTGTCCGACCGATCTTATAGTATAGAACACGGTTTGTGGTGGTGCAAGTGAAAGGCGGTTCATAATTAACAGTTCAGGTGGACTTTGGTTGACTCAATTGTTTACTTTGAATGGGAATAAATAGATCTCAAAGTGACTACAGAACCAAACGAAACCTAATTTCTCTCCATCCTTTCTTCTTCCCGCATCAACAGTTCAGATCTAAAGTGTCTGTTTTATTTCTTTTATGGAGTTGTGTTTCAGCGTTGTTTTTGGTCTCTTTGTTGGAGGTTGTACCTCTTAGATAGGGGTGAGCGTGGGTCGGTACGGTTCGGAGATTGATAAATCTCCAGAACCGTACCAAACTTCGGAGATCCCGAAATTCGATCTCCGGGAACGTACCAAAAAGTCGGTTCGGTCCGGTTCGGAGATTTTTTTTCGGTTCGGTTCGGTTCGGTATTCGGGACTATTGGGACGGTTCGGTTCGGTATGGTTTGGTTCGGATCTTCGGAGATTTTTTATTTTTTTTGAATTATTTTTGAATGACTACCTAGTTATATTTTAATTTTTATATGCTTTAAAAAAAAACATTCATCAATAATTCATCATATTGAATATTTTATTTTGAAATCAATTCTAGAGTAACACCAAATTTTAGTTATTTTATTTTATATATGTTTTAATAAAACCAACATTTATCAGTACTTCCTCACATTAAAGATTTTGTTTTGAAATCAACTTTATAAGTAACTCTAAATTTTAGTTATAACTAAATTTGTGCAACTAATATTGAAAATTTAAAATTCAAATAAAATATAGTATTTTTTTCTTAAAAAAATTTTTTTTAAACTTTCATATTATTTTAAGTAATTATTTTATAATAGAAAAAAATTCAATTGTAGATCACATATTACTAGGCATGAAATTTAAGTGAAGGTTAATATTTATTATTATATTATATAGAATCAAAGCTGACATAAGATATATTAATAACACATCTATAATTTGGTTCTTAATTTCGGTTTTTCGCTTCGGTACAATACGGGACGGTTCGGTTCGGTTCTCTGTACGATATTTGTGAAATCTCCAGAACCGTACCAATTATTTTTTCGGTTTGGTTCGGTTCGGAGAAAGTCAAACGGTCAACGGTTATTTTTCGGTTCGGAGTGATTTTGGTTCGGTTTTTAGAATGGTTCAGAATTCTCCGAGTCCCATGTTCAGCCCTACTCTCAGACACATGTGTTGTTTCAAGGGGCCTAGTTTGGGCGAGTGGCTCGCGCATGATTTAATCGGGTCTCTTATCCCCGCCGAGTTCTAGTCCAGCATTTAGGCCTACGGCATCCCTCTTTGTACCAAAAAAAAAAAAAAAATAGGTCCTGGTTTTCTAGCCCCTTTTGCCAGGTTTTCTAGTTTTTAATATAATTGTCGTTTCGACCAAAAAAAAAAAAAGAATGAAAGGAGGAAAAAAAAAAAACTCAATTTTAAAACAAGTAAAAAAAATCTCTATTGAACGGCACAACTATTAGGCGAGTCCACTTATCATACTCTTTTAACAAAATTATATCCTTATTCCATGAAATATTATACACGTAATTATATTTCTTCTTAAATATGACCAAGGGAGGAGCTATATATAGACCAGTGTGGGACTAGGCCCACACTGAAAAAATAAAAAATTTTATGAATTAGGTATAGCTAGAACTCAAAAAATAACTTAATACCCTATTAAAAAATAAAAATTAATGACAATACTTACATAAGCACAAACAAAAAATAAAAAATAAAAATTAATGACAATACTTGCATAAGCACAAACAAAAAATAAAAAATAAAAAATAAAATGAAAAGAGAGAAATAATGGTGATAAGAAATTCTTGTTCTTACCAATTTTTGAAACTAATTTTAACCTTTTTTTATTATTAAACTTGTAAGAAAAGTTACACACTTATTGTACTTTTTAGCACTCTTCTAGTTAATTGATTGTCGCTTCTTAATTATAAAATACATAACATCTACTATACTTTGTGTGTGGTTAATAACTTAAATTGTAGGCTCTTAATGTTTTATATATTAGTACATCATTTTATACATTATGGTTTTTTAAATATTATAATTTATTCAATTTTTACATTAATTATGGATAAATAATTTTGAAATATGTCTTGAAAAGAAAAGTTCACATTAAAATATTTTAAACTGAGATACTTTAGTTCCAAATATATCTGAAGGAGAATTTTAATATTGTTAGACTTTGGCCAAAAGAAAGTGCGATAAAAAAATTCAACGATGTTATTATAGGATGATGTTGAGCTATATATGAAAACTCATAACTATATTATAAATGTGTGTTTTTGTATTTATACTTTTATTACAGTATATATTTTTCTTTTTCAGTAACGATTAGGCCCCCACTCATTCTATTGGCTAGATTCGCCCCTGAATATGACACTGGAGTTTAATAGTATGCAGTTTGATTGAAAATATGACAATCTAACCGTTGATGCAACTAAAGTATCATTCTATATACAAGTATAAATCTTGAAATAATATATAAATAAATAATTAAAATTAATTTGATGTAAAATTGAGAGAGAGATGTGATTGGAATTAATGAGTATCTAAATTATTTGAGTGGAAGAAAAGTGAAGTAGAGTTGATTTGACGTGTGAAAATGATTGATTGATATTATTAATTATATTGATGAAGAGAGCTGGGTTAAATTAAATGAGTTTTGATTAAATTTGTGTTTACATAATTTATATTCATGGAATCCGAATTCCATCGTGCATAACATGTTTTATGACTCTCTTAACGATATTTTATGTTGACAAAGAACGATGTCGTGTACTATGTTTAGACTTACCTTATCGGTGACCCAACCTAATGGGTCACCAGGAAAAAGACAAAAAAAGATAAAAAAAAATAAAAATAAAAAGAATGTAAAATACGCGACCCAGGTCACATTGTGACAGTGGGTCGCAACCGGGAGTAGCATACTTTACCATTATCTTTTTTTTTTTAATCAAATATTGGGCAGAATTTGGACGCTTTTGGTTTTCTTTTTTTTTTAGTTCATTTATTGTGGGAGTTGATAAGGCATGGGACACTTGTCCCTTTGTGATTGGTGGCCATAATTATATTGTGATAAGATAAGATAACTCTATTATTGAATTTATTATATATTAAAAAAAGTATATCAAAATTCGTATTTTTTTCATTCTCTATAAATAGAGACCACTATTGATATGTTTTAGATCACAACTGAAATTTCTCTCTTTTCACCCTTTTCTTAATCATACCTTATTAATTTTATCATCTCTTTTATTTTTCTTAATTTCCAACAAATATCATATGGATCCAAATTTTGAGTATTACCTCAATTCTCAAAATTTGTCAAACTCTGAAAATTTTCAGAATTTCGAAAATTATTCACAAGAGCCATTTTCTCCTAATCTTACCCAATTTCCAGTTTCTGTAAATGCCCAACCCTCACAAAACATCTCCCGAAATCTATTTCAAAATGTGCAACAGACACGCACAAATCCTCAAAAAGGAACAAAAAATGTTAGTTGGAGTGTGGCAGAAGATCTTGCTCTAATGTCAGCTTGGTGTTTCGTTAGCGAAGACAAAATGTGTGGCAAGAATCAGAAGAGTTCTTCATTATGGTCACGCATAGCTCAATTGTTTGAGCAAGCTCGATTGGAAAACCCAGAAGAAATTGGTGAAAGAAACTTGGATTCAATGAAAGGTCGTTATAAACACCTTAATGAAAATGTAAACAAGTGGAGAGGTGCTTACATGGAAGCATACATAAATAAAAGGAGCGGAATGAGCATGAAAGATGTTGAAAAAGAAGCTCATATAATTTATGAAGCTGGTGGTAGCAAGTTTACAGACTTGCATGTGTTTGAAGAAGTCATGCGAAAGCATCCCAAATGGGAATTAAAATTAGATCGTGATTCAACTCGTTCACGCCCTGAAGATGAAGCGAGTAATGAAGAAAGTCATGGCAGTTCCAAAAGATCAAGGACTACTGATGATGGAGATTTTTCAATTCCCTCAAATCAAGAAACTCCAGTTAGTAATGATTTTGTGATTTCACGTCCCGAAGGTAGAGATAAGGCGAAAAAGAAAGGAAAAAAGGTAGCATCCCAATCTTCTTCCATTCCTATGAGTTCACTGCAGAAATTCGTGCACTAAGACTTACAAGAAAAAATGAATGTGATTTAATGACAAAAATATCGAACGATAGAATGGAGTTGGAACGCAAGAAAGAAGAAAGGAAGATTAGGAAAATGAATATAATGGTGTTGAATACATTGTTGGCAAAAGACCATTTATCGTCGGAAGATGAAGAGATGAAACATCATTTAACTTCAATTTTATTTGGAAAGTAGAAGTAATTTATTATCATGCAGCTTTCAATTATGTCATTTAGTTATTCTGATGTAAGCTTTTCAATTCCTGTAATTCAAGTTATTCAATAAAAGTCTATTTAGTAAGTATTTTTCTCTAATCTTTTTCAGAAATCGTATGTCACTTCCATGATTGTCCTATCCACTAGTATAATAGTTAATTACTCACATATAAAATGAATGGCCAAGAGCTATTTGGAATATAGTGTATGAATTATTACTATCAAATAACAGCTTTATTTTGTCTTCCAAAATTCACACGCATTGAATTCGGATCAAATAACAGCTTTATTCAATAAAATTCACATTCATTGAATTCACATGCAGCTTTTATTTATTTTACTTTACTTTTGCTTTTACTTTACTTTACTTTTCTTTTACATTTACTTTATTTTTGTTTTAAGTGAAATTCTACACCAACTCTTCATACTATATTCTTATATAATATGGTTGAATGCATATCAAATTGATATCAAAACCAACTTATATCTATTTTCTTTATATCAATTATAACTTTTTTTTTTGTACAATTCGTTCTTGTTCAGAAATGTCTTCGACTGAAAACTCATCTGAAAATTCAAGTTCTACTTCTAAAACTTCCAATTTCATCGAATTTGATGAATGGGAAGAACGAGTGATTCAACATAATCAACGATTTGAACGTATTATGGAAGATGTGATTGTTCGTATTCCAAATATGGTCTTACAACCAACAAATCCCGTTCGTAGAGGTAGAAGGCAAGTCATTGAGAGGCAACGAGAGAGAGGAGAGGAGAATGTGTTCAATGACTACTTCTCTGACAATCCATCCTATCCTGAAGAAGTATTCTGTTGGAGATTTCGCATGCGTAAGAATCTTTTTCTTCGTATAGTGAGCGAAATCACCACCAACGACGAATATTTTCAACAAAGGCGTGATGCCACTGGTAGGCTGGGCATTTCACCATTGCAGAAATGTACTGCAGCCATAAGGGTGTTGGCCTATGGAACATCAGCGGATGCTGTTGATGAATACTTGCGAATAAGTGAAGCTGTAATGAGGGAATCTCTCATGAAATTCGTCGAAGGCGTCATTTCTAACTTCCGCGGTCAATACCTCAGAAGACCTAATGAACAAGATTTGGCAAGAATACTTCATGCGGGGGTGCAACGTGGATTTCCAGGAACGATGGGAAGTATTGATTGCATGCATTGGGGATGGAAAAATTGTCCTACAGCATGGGCTGGGCAATATGCAGGAAGAAGTGGAAAACCAACAATTATTTTGGAAGCTGTTGCATCATATGATTTATGGATATGGCATGCATTTTTTGGAACACCAGGTTAGTGCAACGATATCAATGTACTTCACCTATCTCCTGTTTTTGATGATATTTTGGAAGGTCGTGCACCAGAAATTAGCTACGTTGTGAATGGTCAACAAAGAAATATGGGATATTATCTCACTGATGGTATATATCCTTCATGGGCTGCATTTGTTAAATCAATTACTTCTCCGCAACTTCGAAAGCACAAGTTGTTTGCTCAGCACCAAGAGGCAGCTAGAAAAGATGTTGAGCGTGCATTTGGTGTTCTACAAGCTCGTTTTGCATTTATCAAATGACCATGTCTAGTATGGGATCGTTTTTTTATGGGAAGAATTATGATGGCTTGTATCATCATGCACAATATGATAGTAGAAGATGAACGGGACGCCTACTTGAATTATTATGATCCTACAGAATTTATGAACGATAGACCTACAAATGGACGGAGGCAACAACGAAGGAACAGAAGAAATGGAGTAGAAGAAGAGGACGATGATATGCCTTTTCAATACTCGACTGAAAGAATCACAAACCTATCTACGTATATGACCAATAGGTCACAACTCCGTAATAGAGAAGCTCACGTAGCTTTGAAAAATGACTTGATTGAGCACATATGGAAAAGTTCGGCAATGGTAGTTGATGTGTAATTTCATTTGAAATGTTTGTAACTTGTTTAGTTTATTTCATACCAAATTATGTAATTTTAATTTTTAATTTTATTTGTAATCTTTTTTTAGTTGTATTTCAAAATATTAAGTTTCTTAAATCAATATTTTTAATTATAAATTTTTTAATTAATTTATCACAACTAAAACAAAAACAAAAAATCTATTGTAGATAATATTTAATCAATAAAAATAAAATAAATAGTATGTTGGGTTGGATTGGGTTGGGTTAGGGATAAAGATATGTAAGTTGTTAAAAGTTGGGTTGTGTAGGTGGAGGAGAGAGAAATAGTTTTTTATTATTGGGTTGGGTTGGGTTGGGTTGAGGATAAAGATAGTCTTAACATTGTATACTTGATTCATTTGCAGTTTACTGGGTTGGGTACGAAAAACTTAATTCACCCAAGGAAAATGACTATGAACTCGCTTTTAAATACTAAACTAGTACAACGACGTTACGACGTTGTATTATGTTAGTTAAATAAATTATATTTAAATTAAAAAACGGAGAAATAATATAATTTGTGTTTAAATATTTTTTTTTAAAAAAAAAAATTATATTATTATTTATATTATAAAAACAATTTACCCATATTATATTATTATAATTTTTCTAATTTAGGTTGGATAATTAATTTAGTGATAAATTCATTTAATTGATAAATCATGTTATTTCTCTCTCTGCCACTATTTGTCAACGAAATATGAATTTTTTTTCACTGTAATATTTTGTTAGTATTTTGTTGGTAATCCATATAAAATGATTATATATATAATGCATTGTTAATCTGTTAGTAATTTTCAACAGAAATATTTTCGTTGGTAATTTTTGTTGGCATTTTAATAATTTCTTGTAGTGTGATCTAACTAATTTATATATACAAGAAAATCAACGAAAGATGAATAACTAATATATCATTTATAAAAAAACTGATAACAAATACATGTACTATTAATTTTTAAAACATATTTAGAATTTAATATAATAGAAAAGTTTATAATTTTTTTTTTTTTTTTTGCTAAGTACAAAGGTTCAAATATCATCAGAATTCAACATATAAGATTATGAATAACCAACATATAAAATTGTAAAAGCACCGAAACTTGACTCATATATTCTCGCAAAAGTCTGCACTAATATATAGAGTTGGTATATATTTTATAGATTTTGATTGTGCCAAAATAAGATTGTGTCTAATTAAATCAACTCCAATTTCATATAATTCACAACTTATTTAATTCTTATTTCATGAATAGGCCATACATATTGGTGCTTATTTGTACTTGTAATTCAATTTCTCAAAAATCATTTCAAAAGAGTAAAACGTTGCAAAATTCTTATTTTAAATTTCCATATATATAAAAAAAAAAAAAAAAAAATCTAGGAAAAGTGTACAGAGAAGTTGTGGGGAGTGCTTACTATGTAGCTCCAGAAGTACTGCGAAGAAACTACGGAAAGGAGATTGATGTATGGAGTGCTGGAGTTATACTGTACATACTTTTAAGTGGATTCCCTCCTTTCTGGGCTGGTAAGTTTGTTATTATTTGATCGAATACCGAACGTTCAAATTCAAATCATCCAATGAGTGCTTTGCGTTTCCAGAGACGGAGAAAGGCATATTTGAGGAAATTTTGGCGGGCCACGTTGACCTCCAATCGGCCCCATGGCCTACGATATCCGATGGTGCAAAAGATCTCATTAAGAAAATGTTGACCATTGATCCAAAGAAAAGAATTACAGCTGATGAGGCACTTGGTCAGTAAAGTAATCAACAACTGTTTTTTTTTTTTTTTCATACAATATAAAATGAAATCAAATGAGGCCGTGAAATGAAATCTGATTGATCAACTGATCAGAGCACCCATGGCTGAAGGAAGATGGCGAAGCATCTGATAGACCGATCGATAGCGCAGTTCTAATCAGGATGAAGCAATTCAGGGCCATGAACAAGCTGAAGAAGCTTGCACTTAAGGTATATTAGTAAGATTGGTTGAATATTAAATCAGGTAATCTAATAAATCCTAGAAAAAGCAAATAGTTATAAAATTTAAACAAACCAATGAATGAAAGATAATTTTTCTGATTTACGAGTATGGATTTGGATGAAGGTTATTGCTGAGAACCTTTCGGAAGAAGAAATCAAGGGATTGAAACAAATGTTCGACAACATTGACACAGATGGAAGCGGGACCATCACGTACGAAGAACTCCGAGCCGGGCTGTCTAAGCTCGGATCCAAGCTCAGTGAAGCTGAAATACAACAACTAATGGAAGCTGTAAGAATTCCTTACAACATCATATAAAAGTATGAGCGAGAATATAGTCTGTAATGTTTGTTTTCCTTACCATAGGCTGATGTTGACAAGAATGGGACCATAGACTATATCGAGTTTATAACCGCGACCATGCACCGACACAGGCTGGATAAAGAGGAGAATTTGTACAAGGCTTTTCAACATTTTGACAAGGATAACAGCGGGTAACTAGTAATTTTCTTCTTTGACTTCCAATATTCATGGTTTGTTACTTTTTACAGTTAATGATGTTAATTCTTATTGCTAACCGATGGAGAAGAAAAATGTTAATACACAACTTTCATGCAATCAGGCACATAACGAGAGATGAGCTTAGGCAGGCCATGACACAATATGGAATGGGGGATGAGGCTACGATTGACGAGGTTCTTGACGATGTCGACACCGACAAAGTATGCTGCCTTGTTTATTTATACCGCATTTTCTTGATTTGAACTTATTTCTGCCTCATTAATACAATTAAACTGTGAAATTGCTTTAATTTTTATATTGTTGCCACAGGACGGGAAAATCAATTATGATGAATTTGTTGCAATGATGAAGAAAGGAACGCTGGATTTGGGAGAACATTTAGGGACAGGCTCATGATCCACTGTTAAGAAAAACATTATTTTTTGTATCACTTCATGAGAGCCCTTTTTCTTTCTTTAATTGCTTTCATTTCTCGTAATTGAAATAATGTGTACTTGACCAAATATAAATTGAAAACAAATCAATCGTAGCTCTACGAAAATAATGATGGAGATAGTGTGTACATATTTGTCTTTCTTAGAATGACAGAAAAATAGTACGAACATATAATGATCACAAAGATCTCGATTTAACCACAACATGATTTTCGAACAAACTCGAACAAAAAGTTATTAAAGTCAAGACACATGAAACATGCGCTACGTAAGACGAAACTCTTACTAATTAATGCTCATGATTTTTTTACAAGGGTTGCCAAGATACAACGAACTTTATCTTGTGCATAGTGGTACTTCAAACACACATGATTTTTGTCAATTTAGTTGTGTTTATAACTCTTTATAAATGAAGAAAGAAATATGAATACAAGATGAACACGAACTATCTTATGTTCTATTTTAATTTCGTATATCTTATTGTTAAATGTCACTAACTTATAAAGATTTCAAATCATATGGATATTAATTTATATATGATGTTGAACATATACGAAGGGTTCTTGTGTCATAAGACACCCTTTGGGACATGTCTGATCGTACAAAATTGCGTTAAAACCTTTTTGACACGAGCAGGTGTGTTCGAGTCATGAGCTAGTCACACCCGAGATGTTCTTAACGCCCAACTGATCAATGAGTTGCTCCAGTCATTGTGCCCGCGACGGGGCTTAGCACGCGTCAGTGTGCCTGAAGCCTTTACGAGCTCGTTCGAACTCGAAATCGTATCCCATTTATTCCTAGTCATCCCCAAATAACCATTACAGATATCTAGCATGCCTAGTTGATAGCATATAAGACATGCATGTAAACAAAAGAAACATGTATATTGCACAAAATGACAGTGAGTCTCGGCCACCTCACCTTCACAGTCAATGCATGGAAATAGCAGATCAAGACAAGTTTTGTCTAGTCATCATGAAGTACCTTTGGGTAAAAGGAGAAAGAATCTTGAGGATATACAACTCATCAATACAAAGAAGACAATGATGATGTAATCTAGACTGTAGGATTAAGAAAGCTTACTAT